CGGAAAAAAAAAGGTTCTTGTGCAGGGAGCGACATGGCAGAAAGCCCGAACTTTGATCTATGTGCGCATTGCGGCTGGGGTGGCGAATTGATTTGCTGTGATGTGTGCCCACAAGCTTTCCATCTAGTGTGTGCAAAGTTGAGAAATATACCAGACGGAGCGTGGCGTTGCCCGACATGTTCAAATTCTGATGAATGCGTGCGCTCTCGCGAGACCCATGAACAACATTGCGGCGAGCACGAGAGCGCAGGAAATGTTGAGTATGCTTCTTCGGAATCGCGCTTACTAACGGAATACAGTAGGTCGCGTGGCCTACTAATGACCTCATTCGAGACTGCCACTCGTGTGCATTCTGGTAATTCGATACTAAACCTCTTACAGCTTCTTGAAATATGGACCCCAAGAATCAAGTTCAACAAAGCGGTGCTTGCATGTACGGCTCTTCATTATATCCCCGGCGATTTGTCAAGAGTATCGCCGCTCAATGGTTGGGAATTCGGAACAGTTCTCGTCTTGCGCAATATTGCCGAGGCCATCGGAAGAACCCAGCTGATCGCTGCATTGGAAGCACTAGAGGGTCCACGGGGAACGCAGCATCGAGTCCTTGCCAGAGGTTTTGGTGTTTGCTTCTTGTCGTGCTCCGGGCTATCAAACACTGCACTTCCTACTGTTGAAGACTTGTGCAGCTCTTGTGGCGGGCTGCGTTATTTGCGCAGTGCATGCCTCGCCTGTGGAAAATCTCATGAATTGGAAATTCCACGCATCTCTCATGAACCATTGAAAAATGAGTTTGATCTCAAAAAACCACAAGTGAAAATTCTGGAAGTATCACGCCGAGATGCAATTCAGGCTGGCATCGCTTACATTGAGAAATGTGGGCAAGAGCGGAAAATTTTCAAGGAATTTGGAGGTGACATGATATTTCTGTTTCGTAATCTTGTTCATACGGCGGGTTTAAATGGTGAGATATACGAAATCGCAAGCGAATCCGCATGCGAAGCAGATGTTCGGATGAGCCTTCAGGCCGCTTCCTGTTTTGTGGAGCTCCTTGCGCGTTGGACAACGGAGCACATTCGAATGAACAACGAAATGGAGATGGATGAAATTTTGAACACAGTAGAAGCGCTTCACACTCTAGCCCAGCTTGGTATCGAGAATGATGATCAGTTGCCTAATGCCAAAGAAATTTCATGCATACTCACCACCTTTAAACATCCGATTGTACTCTCACGCAGCGTCCTCTGCTAAAGCTGTTTGGATTACTGTGCAACAGACTCGAAACTCACATGTTAAACAAGACGAGAGCGCAAACGTAGAAGATCCAAAATTACGAAGGAAGGTCGGTGAGTCTAGAACCTCAAGTAATGCGGGCGCGGTTAAAGTGTTCATTGTTGACTGGTTAAGAATTATACGATTAATAAGTTCGGATGCGGCCATGCTCGATCCCCTCCCACGCAGGGTTTCAGGTTTGCGATGTAAAGCAACAACTCAAGGAGGCAATAATTCTCTTTGACGTCACTGACATGCTTGGTTACGATCCCACAACACGCCAAGTTCCTATGACCGATGCAAAACATTGCGCGCACTGTGAATGTCGTTGAGTTATTTGTGGGCTGTGACTTAACTTGGTTTTATGCGTCCCATTCTCAGGTGGAAGAGAAAATACTCGAGGTGTGCTCAGGTGCATGGATTGTAACGCATTTTTGCGTCCAAGAATTGACTACGGTTCGCTCACTGATGCATTGGTGTGGAGTTATCTCTTCAAGGAAATTGACGTGCCTCTCTTGTGCAATAATGCTCATGTGAGTTTCATCGACGTGGTCGCTATCCTTCCTGCCGTGCGTGCGTGTGGTTCTCTGTCAAACTATGTTTGTTAAGGCGAATACCCCAGTAAACCCGCATCTTGTGTAGCTACCAGCGAATAGACGAACTTGGCCATGATTTCTTCCGCCTCCAATGCTACTTCGTGACTCATTTCATCTATGTCATGTCAGACTGGGGTCGACATCCAATTCAACGCGAGCTCTTTCAGGAGGAACTGACCTTCATCGTGAACAATCTCTCCCAGGTGCGAACGCTAATATCTCTTATTCATGGTGAAAGGACTAGATAGGTCATCTTCATGGAAGACCCCGAGCTGACTGGCGAGTTTGTACAATGTCTTCGCATCCTTGGAATCTCCCGCGAAGATGCTGCCATTTGGCCGCTGATCCAGAAAGTATCAGATTATTACATAACTTCAGTGTCTATAGTTGGTTGGAAGGGTATTGACGTCCGCTCTCAGGCTCTTGCCTACCTTCTTAAACTTGAGCAACATCACGGTGGCCACGGAATTTGGTCAAAAAGAAGTGATAAGCCATACGATCGGTACCACACCGCATATTGTGCCACTATTGGGCTCATGTCTTACAACTTTGCGCAAGGCGCTGTACGTAAATCAGTTGAAGCTACAGTGCCAATCTCGCGTGCCTTTTGCGTGCCCGCTGCAGAATTTGGGCCACAGTTTTAGCGCAGTCTATTTAGTCTCTATTGATGTTGCCGTTCGAGCTATCTTCTGTAAATTGGTTTAAGTCCCACCGGCGGTGAGTCAGCAGCCGCGCCAGCGGGGCTTTAATATTGCCAGCTGGGTCTCGCCCTCAGGCCCTCTTAAGAGGGAGCGTTACTTAAGAGGGATGTCAGACGGTCCCGAGACGGTCCAGATCGAGGGCGCTGATCAAGGGGGCGGACCAAGCGGGGCGCCGTCACGCCCCCCCCGTGGTCACGGTTATCCCCCCATGTAGATGAAAGACGGTGACTATCGTCGTCAGAACGCGAGTGTAATTTCCGTCCACTTGGCCTTTCGTATCTCCCACTAGCCTGGAGCTAAAGGAAGCAAGGCAAGCTCCTCCCTCGATTACTATCGCGACGTCACAAGATGTCACACTATGGGGAAGGCCTGGGGATGATACTGCGGGTAACCCTCTCAAGCCGAACTAGCCTAAGATGTCCTAGCTCGAATACTCGACGGCGATCAATCGCGATATATAGAGCTCGCCAACCGATAGTAGATCATGCCGCACAGCTTTGGGTATCGGGCCCGCACCCGCGACATGTTCTCGCGGCCGTTTCGGCAGCGCGGCATGATCAAAATGTCCACTTACCTGACGACCTATAAGATGGGCGACTACGTCGACATCAAATGTAACCCGGCCCAGGTCAAAGGGATGCCGTTCAAGCACTTCCACGGTCGCACGGGCGTCATCTACAATGTCACTAAGCGTGCAGTCGGCGTTCGCATCGCCAAACAGGTCAACGGGCGCATCATCAACAAACATCTCAATGTTCGTGTCGAGCATGTCACACCGTCGAAGTGCCAGAATGACCTGATCGCGCGCGTCGCACGCAACGAGAAGCTCAAAAAGGAGGCAAAACAATCAGGCACCAAAGTCGCCCTCAAGCGCCAGCCGACCCAGCCTAAGGCTGGCTTCGTTATCACAGCTTCGGAGGAGCCCACGACAATCCAGCCAATCCCCTTCAGCGACCTTTTCTGAGGTCCCCAAACCAGGCACTCTCCACAAGAGCCGAACTCATCGTCGTCTTGAAGTTTCGCATGTCATTTGGAGACTTGACAATCTTTGAGAACCTGGCATTTATTGAATCGATTTCAGATTGATAGACCGCCCATCGACTCTGCCAGACGTCGTTCGAGCCTTCTACGTGTGCCGCACAGTCTATGCAGCTGACTTGCGGGCCAACGCGCGGGACTGTGAGCCCAAGCTAACCTGCATGTCTTTCGCTAGTTTGATGTTGTCGGAATCCCAGCATGCTGTTTGATTCTTACAGAGAGAACTAACTAGTGATTCCAACCAAGTTCCCAGATAGATTCCAACTAAGTTACCAACTTCTTCGGTGTTCTTGTCAAGTAGTATCCGGGTAGGAGCTGCGAGAAGAAGTCTGCAACGCTAAGATTGCCAGGGCACCAGAAGGGACGGGCCTTGCCGAGCTCATGGAAGGGCAGGGAATAGCCCAAGGAGCGGAACGCAGACCGGTTTCAAGTTCCTGGGTAGCTGGCACTTGGCTGGCACTTTGATTGCGCTCTAATCACACTCGCGTTCTAAGGGCGATATTCGCCGCTTTATCAGAAATAGCCCCGGGGGGGGGCGGGGGGGAGGCTTTAAATTCGCCCTATTAGACTATCTCAGGCTGTCCGACTGCCTCGCCAATTCTGGATTGGCCTCGCCCAGCTCACTCCTCCACCCAGGATGATTCTTCGGTGTTGTCCTCCTCCGGATTGACCGCCGCTCGCTGCCTGCGGGCTCTAGACAGGATCCAGTCGAGATTGTTGAGATCGTCAGGGGGCGCAGAAGGTGGAGTCGGGTTGAGGGGGGGGGGGAG